TTGGCATTTTTTGCATTGTTCAAGCATGCACACATTCAAGGGCTGAGGGGTGTAAAGGAGAATAGGATTTATTTTCTGCATTGTAAACACACACACACACACACACACACACACACAACAGAGCTATTTTATTCACTTTTTATTTGCTCAGATATATGTCAGAAATTGTAAAATAATCTTTGCTCTGGTTTTCCCTTATCTCCGCTTGCCTGCAATTACCCATATCAGATTGAATTTCCTTTGGCTACTCCTCCTATTATCAGGAAGCCCTTATAGGTTTGCCATTCCCATTTGGATTCCAAGGCTGTTAAATCTTTACAGGAGCAAACAACCTAATCTTTCCCCCACAGGAGAGACAATCTTTTGGTTAGTAGGCCAGGCTCCTAAACACTGTGTCATCAGAGCTTACTGGTACTCATACAATTCCCCTTTCACATGCATGAATATAGTTGTTTTGGGGGGGAGTGGAGTGAGCTTATTGGTCCTCATACAATTCCCCTTACACATGCATGAATATGTTTTTTGGGGGGTGGCTGGAGTTTGTCTCACACATGTTATTTGGCAAGTTTTCTCATCTCTCTCTCTTCAGATCAAGGCTCCAAATCCTTTGAGAGTATAAACTAACAAGAAGCAATCTTTGGAATAATAAGTATTCTCTTTCACCACTCCTTTACTTGAAGCAGGAGCTCTGGTAACCTAGTCCATGCAGTGTTGTAACTTAAAGGCTGCATGTCACGGTGTTTGTATTTGCCCGGCCAACTGCTCCATGGGAAAGATGGACAATCTCCTCTTGTTAGAATTTATAGCCACAGAAACTAGATGGAGGATTGCTAGGAGCTGGAACCAACTGGGCCGCCAGGGAGTTTTAGTTTGGAGTTTTACAAAAAAGAGGCACAGCTTCAGCTTGCTTGGCTCCACAATCAACACTCTTGGTACTAGCAGCCAGGAAATTAGAAGACAAATTGTATTGGGAAACTCTGCTGTCAGTGGAGACTGAGGTGCACCTGATCCAGACCATGGTCTTCGTAATGACATGCTATGCATCAGAGAGCTGGACAATGATGGAAGAATGATAGATGAAGAATCAATGTCTTTGAGTTGTGGAGCTGGAGAGGAGTACTGAACATATATATCATTGTCTGCCAAGAGAGCAAACAGGTCTGTTCTGGAGAGGGTGAAACCGGCTCCTTGGGAGGAAGGCTTTTGAAGCTCCATCTGACATACTTTGGACATGTTGCGGGGAGAGAACAGTCCCTGGAGAGGGACATCATGCTTGGAAGAGTGGAGGGACAGCACAAGAGAGGAAGAGCCTGGAGGAAATGGATTGATTCAGTGACTGGGGTAATGGGAGTAGGTTTGTCAGAGACAATTAAATTGGTTCAAGATAGAGCAGGGTTCAGGGCTGGTGTACACAGGGTCACTATGAGTGGAAGGTGATTCGATGGCACATATCAACAATCAACTTTCTCCCAATGTCTTTTAGAGGTTTTTGTCTGTCCTTTAGTGAAATGGTATTTCCATTTTTCAAGTCTCTCCTGCTCACTATCAGACACTCATATGCACAGGGTGGAAAACCAAGTAGGTGAGGTGATGCATACAAGTGATCCCTACTACCTTGCCTTTGACTCACCTTCTCTGCTAATGAATCTTTCCTTTTGGTGTCAACTTATGTGCCTGGATACTTCTTTTCTCTAGATGCATTTTCCCTCAGAAAGCTCTTCCAAGTCCTACAAGGAGACTTTGGGCAGAAGACTATTCAGCAACTGGATAAACAAGCTTGAAAATGTCAGAATCTTAGTTAGACATAAGCTGTAACTGTCATTCTATTTCATGAAAATAGAATGATTAATGATGTTATAAAAATTACTAATAATTATGCTTATTTCTATTTTTATGTGTGAATACAATGCTTTATAGATACTTTAATTTGCTTAAGTTCCCAATGAAGTAAGTAATACTCTCATAAGGAAAAGAGAACTGAGTTTCAAAGGCACGAGACAGACACTGACTCTGAGAGAATCCGTTAGATGTGGTTGTTAAAGCTCGATAACTGTAGTTCACATGTTGGCCTGAACACTTTCTAACTGGGTGATTTTCAGTGAACTGCTGAACCTTGAGGGACCTCACCATCTTTGTCTGTAATAACAATAATATCTGATTCATAAGATGTGAGTCAAGCCATTTCCGAAGTGGATGCCACTCCTGCTTCCAAGCTTGTTTTAATCGGGAGCTCCACCAAACACTGTCCACTATGGAACAAAGAGAAAGCCATAAGATCCACAGATGAGAGGCCCTCCTAAGGTCCAGCTAGAACTGAGATTCACAACACACTGGCCTTCAGCCCTCAGCCTACAGGCACGCCCAAACATTTCAGTATTTTACAATTCCAGCATGCCCAAATTCTGGGGGGCTCTTTGCCCAAGACCCCCAATTCATCTGGCAAATCCCATCCGATGAACACCAACTTAGGACGAATAACCGGGTAAGTGTCATCTGAGCTTGGGTCACATATTACATATACTAACTTCCAATGTCTTAGAAGAGGAACTGTATCTTACTTGACCCCAGAACAGGGGAGAGGGCACTATCTCCCACCTATTTTGAGATTTCTTTTATTATTTGTTGTTGTTGTTGAGATTTCTTAAAATACGACAGAGGAGCCTTGATAGCACAAGAGTTAAACACTTGGTTGCTTATTGAAAGGCTGGCATTTGGAACTCATCCAATAATTCTTTGAGAGAAGGCCAGTGTGTGGCTATAAAGATTGCAAACTAGAAAACTATATGAGCATTACTACCCTTGTAGATGAAGTCTCAATGATCAAAATCCACTTGACAACACTCATCAACAACGACAAAGCCAGACTAGTGTTTAAAGAGGGCACTGTGCTGGCCCAGTCAGTAGGGAGGGGCATTGTTAAACTAAAGGTCATGCCTTTCTGGTAGTTTGAACCCAGCAGGAGTTGCTTAGGAGAAAGATAAGCCATCTGCTCTAATGCAATTCAAAGTCTCTGAAAAGGTCAGTCTGGAAGTTCAGTTAGGAGTTGCTTCAGACTGGATAGCAAGGATTTGATTTTTGAGTGTTTGAACATCCAGAGGTCAAAAAGCAAGCAGTGCTCAGTCTTTTCTTTTTTGTTGTTCAGATTGCCTTTGCGATTCAATCACTGTCCAGAACTTTCCAGATCCAGGGCCAGCTCAATATGAGTTAGGTTAGAAACCAGGGTTCCTGTATGGAGTATGGAGAGTGAGGAGAGGATCCAATGTCATTATTGTTTTTTTCCAAAAAACATCCAGGAAACAGAGATGAGCCAGGACCTGGGCAGGAAGGCCAGTTGTGCTGTGAGGTACAGTGAGAGCTGGGATTATAGTCCTGGGAGCAGATAGGAAGATAAGGAAAGCATGAGAGTAGAGCAGCATCTGAAGACAGAACAAAAGGCCATGGTTGTTAACCTGCACTGTGGAAAAGGAAGGAGGGAGGAGCCAGAGGGCACAGCCAGGTTTCTCACTTGAGGAAGGAACTGGGGATGGAGAGGTGTTTTTGTGCAGTGACTTCAAGAAAGGTAAGGGGCGGGTGTTATCTTATTCTGGAGTGTGTTTTTGTGTGTGTATACACATAAAAAGGCTCAAGTTTTGCTCTGTTTATATGTGTATAGTATCCCCAAGGGGACAGGTCTTCACTTGTATGTGTGTGTTTGTACAGTGACGCCCTCCAGGGGGCAGGTCTTGTTCTGTGTGTGTACAGTGACCCCCAGGCGCGCTCGCGCTCTCTCTCTCTCTCTCTCTCTCTCTCTCTGTGTGTGTATAGTGACCCCAATGGGGTATATTTGGGGGGGGGTGTTTGTACAGTGACACCCCCCCAGGGGCTAGGTTTTGCTCCGTGTATGTACAGTGACCCTCAGGCTGTATGTATGTATATACATACAGTGACCCCAACAGGGCAGATCTTGGGGGGTGTGTGTGTACAGTGACACCCCCCCCCCCAGGGGGCAAGTCTAGCTCTGCGTATATACAAGTGACCCTAGGCTGTGTATACAGTGACCCACAGGCTGTGTCTGTGTATATACAGTGACCCCCATAGAGGGGTAGATCTTGTTCTGTGTGTATTTCTGCAGTGACCTCAAGTAAAGGAAGGCACACATCTTCATTTTGGTTTGAAGTACTGAGTTGGGAGGGTTACAATGTACAGATCTGGAGGAGTCTACAGGCTTTGAATGTCAATGCAGTTTCGGTAAAGTCTTAAGAAGATAGTCGCCCAGTGACGGCCCTGGCAATTCCCAACACACAGGAGGAGAGAGACCTGGGGCCTGATCTCCAGCCATCGCCCTGCATGCATCGCCCACGCACAGTGATGTGTCTCTGCCAGGCAGGGCTGGGTGCCTTCTCAAGGACCCACCTCCCTGGGCAGGACAGGCAACATTGGGAAGTCAGCTGCACGAATAAGTCTATGGGCCAGGGTGGAGCTGCCTCTGACTTCTGGGCAGACCTGGAGAGGGTGGCCTTGGGCTGGAGTGAGGGCTTGGAGGCCTGGAAAAGACTGGCTGTCCTGATGCCCCGACCGGGACCGCAGGGCTGAGCGGCGGTGGCGGTCCTGGCGGCCACCCTGCTTTTTCTGCAGCGTGAGGATTCGGGGCTGGGGCTGGCTCCAGGTATATCCTGCATGGGTGCCTAACACAGTCCCTCAACCCCTTATGGGCAGAAGAGAAGGTACAGTAATGGGCCAAACCCCGGAGGTGCCTTATGAAGAGGAGGCTCGTGGTCCCTGTGGGTGGCACTGGGCACACCCTCCTGCACAGCCCCCCCCCAACTCCCCAGTGTGTGCACTCTCTCCATGTGCAGCTGCATCCCGCCCACCTGCAGTAACTCCACACTTTCTCCTGGGCCCAGCCAGCACTTAATAAAGAAGGTATCTTCCTCCCACATAGATATCCAGCCCTTGTTCCTCTGGGTGAGGACTGACTAGCCCCTAAATCCTAAGATCAGCACCTGTCCTTGACAGACGCCATGACAGAGGTGCTACCCAAGCTTCAGGAAGACTTCAGGATGCAGAATAAGTCCGTCTTTATCCTGGGTGCCAGTGGTGAAACTGGCAAAGTGCTCTTAAAAGAAATCTTGGAACAAAACCTGTTCTCCAAAGTCACGCTCATTGGCCGGAGGAAGCTCACCTTTGAGGAGGAAGCTTATAAAAATGTGGTGAGTGTTTGAGCTGGGACCTCCTGACCCAGCGGCCTACATATTTCATGTCTTCAAAGACCAGTGGTGGAGGTAGCAGAGGTGATAAAAAATTGGCCCAGATTAGTCTGTGAGGGTCTAGGACTGGATGCTGGGGTCCTGGGTTGTCCAGTTCCCCATCACTGTGTGTCCCTCTGTCTGTCTGTCGTGTGAGGTGCCATCAAATGGACTTGGGGCCCTTAACAATACTTTCAGTGGAACAACAGATGAGGAGAAACATTACCCCTCCTAAAGGGGCCCTAGGTCATACAGGGGGGCTCACTAGATGGTGAGAAGAAGACATACAATCTCGACTCTAAAGACAGAATCAAGCAATTTGCACAACCATTTTCTTTAGCTTCCTACATTAATTAATGTGTGTGAATCCAGAAATGCAGATGTTTGTTGGAAGGTGGGCTTCCTGACTTATAAGAACTTGCCCTAGACCTCTGTCTGTAAGTGAAATGCATCTATGTGTCTGTTGGGTAATGTAGCACTGAATATGTGCCTGAACACCAGACCTACATGTTAAGGTCTCAGTCCCATTTCTGCCCAGGAGCCACCTAGCCTGAGGCCATGGAGGCCTAGGTCCAAACCCCAACTCTTGTACCCCTTGGCTCCAGGTCAGGTGGGGCCTTGAAGAGCACTTTATTTGTGTGTATACAGAGACCTCATTACAGGAAGCAGGTGCTTAGGGAGCTGCCCCAAAGACACAGCTGTTCTCACAGCATCCAAATCACATAAAGTCCTGTTTCACAGAGCATATGGTGGACATTAAGTAACACGTCTGTCTTCCCTCCACTGGAAGTTATGCTATTATAGTTAAGCCAATGATCTTGGAAGAAAAAAAAAGACACTCAGCCAGTTGCCTTTGAGTTGACTCAGAAGCAGAGAGCCCGCTAAGTCAGAGTCCAGCCTGTTCACTAGGGGTTAAATGGCCATTTCTTAAAGAAGTAGATTATTAAACCTAGTCCACAGTGGTTGTATTCTCCCTGGATGGCTCCACCCAGGGTTGCTGTGACCTCTGGGTATCAGAGAGAGCATGGTGCTGCATGTACACGTGTTGGCTTTTGGAGTCGAGTGCTTTTTCGGGCTTGTGTTTGATGTGAAGGAATGCTCTGTCTCTAGGAGCAAGGCAAGCTAGGCTTGTCCTAGGGTTTAAGACAGGAGGGGGCCTTAAACCCCAAAGGGAGAGGGGAGAGAAGGTGGCCATGTTCTCCCTGGCATGGTGCTGCATGCACAGGTGTGGCAGGCTTTAAACCCCATAGGGCCCTTGGGACTGTGGCCATAGGGCCAGGTTCAAATGGTTTTCCTGTCAAACATGCTTCTAGGTGATATAGCACTGGTCTGTCCATTGATGTACAGAGGTAACTTGTGGTTGCTGTGATGCTGAAAATGGTGACACTGATGTGCCAAACGTGGTAATGGTTACCCATGGTGGACAGTGTTTGCTGGAGTTTTCTGACTAAAACAAGTCTGGAAGCAAGAGTGGCATCCACTTCTGAAATGGCTTGCCTCCTGGAAAATCTATGTGCAAACAGTGCTCAGGCCTTTTGTTCATAGGGTCGCTATGAGTCGTCTACGACTTGACGGTACCTAACAACAACAGCAACTCTACAGCAAGTTGCACTGCTAACCTAAAGGTTGCCACATGTTCCTGGTGGTTCAAATTCACCAGTGACTCTAGATGTAAAATTGTAGGGCCTACCTATTTGGAAGAGTGAAAGCAATCAAATCCTCAAACAATTAGTTCAATGGAAAAATGGGCCACAGCCTCCACTGCCTGAGGCCTGAAAATCTAGATGGCACAACAACCACTCGGATCTGGATCACACTAGAAAATTTGGATAGAGGGGGAGAAAGTGTACAGCAAAGTGTAAAATAATTTAAAACACCAGCAGAAGTTAATCCTTGAGACCTTTGTCACCCTTCAAATCTGTATGTAACTGATTCCACATCTAGGGGACACCTTTAGGTCCAACAATAGACTAACCTGTAAAATAAACAATAGCACTCACAAGGAAGGTGCTTCTCATAAAAATGTCATGTTGTTGTTGTTGTTGTTAGGTGTTATCGAATTATGTACAACTCATGGCAACCCTATGAAAAAAAATCGAATCCTGCTCTATCCTACACCATCCTAACACTTCCTGACACACAAGAGCCCATTGTGGCAGTCACTGTGCCAATCACCTAGTTGAGGGTCTTCTTCTCCTTCACAGACCCTCTGCCCTTCGGAACATGTCTGGGTCCAAGGAATAGGCACAATAAGTCATACTTGACCAAAAGAAATTCATCATTTACCTCAAAACAGAGTTCAGAAGGCAGGAAAGAGGGATGAACAGAAACAGGGACCCCTGGAAGAAGTGAGAAGAGGGCTGACACACTGAGGGGCTTCCAATGAATGTCACTAAATAAAATGTGCACAAATTGTTTTTTGTTTTTATTTGTATTTGTTTTTTTATTATTTTGAGAGTGTGTGTGTGTGTGTGTGTGTGTGTGTGTGTGT